TCTCCAAAAAGTGGTCGGCCTGCTAAGTGGTCTTCCAGAGCAACAACTGGTCGGCCATAGGTGGGAGAGGTCTAGAGCACGAAAGAAGACTAGTGGTGTGGTGGCCGATCAGAAAATGTGGCCCAAGGACCAAACAAGCCAGTTATCCGACCAAAAAATTGGCTAGCAGAAGGAAAAGTGGTCTCCAAGGAGAAAAAGTGGTCTCCCACCCTTGTACCACCTTCCAAACTAGGAAAACAAGGTTTGTACCAAAAACAAACCAAAACGGATGCAAAACGAGAGATCGGGAGGCAAAGCACGCGGCCGAAAGCCCAGAAAACTAGCTGACGAGCATCAAAATTGGTATGCCACCACAAAAGTGGTCTCCCAGACCACAGTGTTCCTTTAGGCAGAGGCAACAAGGTGTGGTTCAAAAACCACTCCAAACGGAGAACGTTAAGCGGTCTCGAGCCAAGGCGTGCCGCCGAAGGCTGCAAAAACTAGAAACTAGTCTCCAAACGGGAAAAGTGGACTACGACCACAAAAAGTGGTCTACGACCACAAAGAGATGGTCTACAAGACCACTCCCTCCCTCCTGGAAGAGAAAACAAGATTCGGTCCACAAACCGAGCCGAAGCACAAAAGAGTTCAGAGGCTCGGAGGCAAGGCTCTCAACCAAAACTCCGGAGACTCAAAACGAGCACAACATGCGCAATCACCGAGTGCTCAATCGATGACGTCTAAGTCTTAAGGTCGGTCAAAAATAGGGTGTCTACAGTACCTCATCCACACCCTAACCTTATCCATACACTACTTCCTAGCAATAACCCCAGCGTATACATCACCTCAGCTCATTTACCTATGCCTGAGGTGTTTATTCCAGAAAGCATGGACTTGTGCATGATGGATGCACTCGAACCCCAATCATCTTAAACCTATGAACCCCCTACTTTTGAGCTGATGAGCATGATTGAAGATCTTCAGAGAATAGTGGCAGATTTAGCCTTTGGGGTTTTGGCTCTATCACCGACCACATCACATGCTAGAAAATTTCACGCCAAAAAGCTTCCCAATCTTGGTGCGAGCCGCAATTGAAAATGGCCAACCTAAAGCTATCTCAGTTATGGGCAATGACATGTCGACAACAACTGGGCTCCACTCTGATATAGCGACCCAATCCCTTGGCAAAGTGGAGGCAAGTGGTAAGAACAAGGTCGGGGCAAGTATCGATCCTTACAAACATCTTCAATGGGCTATTGAGGCTTTCATGGTTGAAGGGCTAAACAAACAGCATGTGCTTGCAGTTATTACAAAGATTGTGGATGACACTTTTGCCACTCAAGTTCGGGGCATTTTGAATCAAAGGGCAAGCCATGAAAAAGGTTGTTGTACCAGAAACACCCCTTTCAGTTCCAATCCTACACTCAGAAGAGATCATCAAACCCAGTCAGCACCTGCCAACCCCTTTGCCGGTACATCCAACACAACTTCACAAACTTTAAGCCATCAGGCCCAAGGCCAGAGGGTTTTCACCCCGCTTTACATGACCTTATCCAAAGCTCTCCAAATCCTCGTAGGACAAGGCCATCTCAAAACCCTTGATCCTCGGCCTCTCTCGGATCCCCTTCCAGCCAAGCATAATGCTGCCAAGTACTGTACCTTCCATCAACAAACCGATCATGACACTGACGGTTGTTATCGTCTTCGCCATGAAGTTCAAGATCTCATTGACAACGAGGTCATCGCTACACCAGGTCTTACAAAGTCTATCGGCACCGAATCAATGAACTGAGAGGATAATGTGACTATGTGATCAGGGAGGAACCACTTGTTGATGGCGCTCATTTTACTCCAAATATGGAGGATGACACGCACTGTTTTGAGCAATTTGCAAATGTTGTTTATTTTACTTTCTGACTTGGGTATTGGGTCAGTCTTGTTGTGTTATATTGAGTCAGTCTTTTTGAACTGAGTCGGTCGAGTCAGTCAAGTCAGTCTTGTTGTGTCGGAGGTTGGTGATTTCGGGGGTGTTAACTCGAACGTCACTTCCCTGTTTGTTTTGTTTGTCTTTTCGATCTTTCTTTTAAGTCTGTTTCTATCATGGAGCCAATTGCGCCAGAAGATCTGAATGAAAATGGCAGTGATTTTCACCTACCTTTCTGTGCCTTGAAATCATTGCATTGCCCTAAGTTTTTCAAAACTTTTCTAACACTATGATGAAAACAAAGATGAAGGAATTCCTTGGGATTTGCAAAAATTTGATCAAACTGAGAGAAAGAGAGGCATGCTAAGCCCTTAATAAATGAGATCATGCTTGTTAATGTGAGTACTAGGAAGGATCCTGGCTTGATCCAGATTGGTTTTGCATTGTCTATAGAAAAGCACGAGTGACTAGTCGCTTTATTAAAGGATTTCAAAAAATGTTTTGCGTGGTCCTACGAAGACATGTCTGGAATTGATCTTGAGATTGCACAACATAGGATCACTCTCGGCCTCGAGACTCGACCCTTGATGCAGAATGCTCAAGCAATCAACCATAATGAAAGGCTTGTATGGTCGGATTAGAAGCAGCTCTTGAACTAGGGACAAGAAGGTCAGATGTCATCAAAGGAAGCTTGCAAAGCTAGATCAGAAGTAGCCCTTGAACTAGGGGCAAAAAATGTCAGATGTGCTCAGAGATTCAAAAGATGGGTCATTCTACAAGTCAATGAAGACTGAGAAGAAAGCCAAATCCCAGAATCTGAGAGAAGAGAAATTATTGCTGAAGGACAATCGAGTTCTTATCCACAACACTAGGGGCAAATTCAGACCCAATTGAATGGACTCCTATATCATCAGCGAACAATAGCCATTCTCCTGGATTTAGATGGCTTCGAGATCTCAAAACCGATCAACATGGACAAGTTAAGCTTTATTTCTTATCCTTGAGAGGCTCGCTGGGCCGAAAACCCGGAAGGGCTACCCAGGCAAGTTAGAGCAGAGAAAAGAAAAAGAACAAAAATGAAAAAAATGAAAAGAAAAAGAAAAAAAGAAAAGAAAAGAAAAGAAAAGAAAAGAAAAGAAGGAAAAGAAATGAAAAATAGAGCTCGCAAGGTTAAAAACCTAGAAGGACGGCTTTGGCAAAAGTTAGAGCGCAAAAGGAGAGTGTTAATACCCGAGTGTACCTCAACCTGGAACTACATATGGCCTGATTTCCATCTTTGGGATACTGTAGACTACCCGGAACTTCGCTCCGCGCACGAGGGTGCGAATCGTTGTTCTTAGCTACTACAGTTCGGACTCCTGTCACGGTTCTGAATCTAATATCACAAAGTGCAATGTAAGACTGATAAATCACCAAAGAGTCCAAATCTGGCAAATCGTTTTGGAAAATCAATTTTAATAAAAAAAGCGCCAAACATGGACTGCTTTGCTAGATTTTAGAATCGCCATTTAAATATTTTATTTTGGGGAATTTAGGAAACCCTGACTCGTGCCTAAGGCCACGTGTCCGTCATCACCAAAGTTGCCTCGGCTTGAGAACTTGGGTACGAGAGGGGAAGGTCCTGAAATGAGCACCCCCGCTCTCAATCAAAGATCGACCTCTACTAAACATGATATGTTGTTTTTGAAAACACATGTGTTCTTATTCCAGTTATTAATCTAGAAGTACTATGTGATGCGCACAGCATACAAGTATAGATTAAATCACTCAATTTGGAACAAAACATCTCATGCTTGTTTTTTTTCTTTTGAAAACGGTTTGAAGGTGCTACTCGCAAGCACTACAAGAATAAAGACATACAGCGACGTTTTTTTCATGACGTTTTTCAAAAGCGTCGTCAAATCTGTCCAGATTTTTCAAATTCTAAGCATTAAACTAAACTATCTTGTTTTGTGCGCCAATTATTTCTTTTAAACAAGGCTATGGCATTCGTTTATCCTGATTGAACAGAGGCGTGATTTTAGGAAGAGAGAGAAATTGAGGTGTTGGATCTTCGATCTCCATCAATTCTTCGACTGTTTGATCTGAAAAATCTTGTTCTACTCTTGATTTGAGCTTTTATCTTCCTGATTGTTCGAATCCCTATGATCTAAATCGATCTAGGGCTCAAGGTTAGGGTTTTCTGGAGCATATATCTTCCAGATTGTTTGAATCCCTATGATCTAAATCGATCTAGGGCTCAAGGTTAGAGTTTTCTGATATAGATTTGCTGTATTCACACAAGATCTATAAAATTTCATGGCTAAAACTAACGATTTGGAATTATTTTCTCTTGATTTGGTTGATTTCCAGCTTTTTCTGCTTTTGTTTTGTGTTTTCTCCTTTCGTTTTTGTTCCTTTATTCTTTCTAGTCCTTGTGTGGAAAAGTCTTCTCTTTCATCAGATTGAGCAGCAGCAATGGTGAATCGATTTATCTAGGGCTTCGAGTGCGGTGTTAGTGTCTCTGATCATGTACGGGACAAGCAAGTGGCGTTGGATGTGGATCGTTGGAAACAGTTAGTAGAAGCTCAACGATGAAGAGATGCAGATCTGCTCTCTCTTCGATCAGATCTGTTCTCTCTCTCTCTCTCTCCCCGATCTGCTAACATGGTAATATCAGATCTGCTTTGTCTCTCTCTTGTCCATTATTTTGCCTTTTTTTGGAATCTCATTTTGGCATTTCTTGCCTGTAAGAGAGTGTTCATCACACTTCTCCAACATCAGTAATCTATTTTTATATGCTGAAAATGTCAATTTAACTTTGAACAACTGTCACTTTGGAAAATTATCTTCACTAGTTCCGATATGGTCAACGTAGTCGTTTACTATCTTCATTACTTTGGAAAATTATTAGTCAACAAATTCATGCTCTTTGCTGAGCATGAATATATTTAAAATATTTTGTTTTCAGAATTTTATATTCATATGAATCTGAAATATCAAAACTATTATTTTTGGTGATACTGTGATACACAATCTAAGTAAGTATCTAACTGTTAGTATCTGACTTTAAATTTCCAGATTTTTTTTTATTGTTACTTCACTGGCATTTGTGTTAATGTTGAATGTATTCCCTGTGTGGACATATTGCAGGGGAAATCCAAAGTTCAATTTTCACAACTACAGAATTTGGTCATTTCTTGGCCTTTTGATGACAACTTACACTGCGTGGTACTTAACCATTGCTTCCTTTCTCCATGGACAGGTATAGATATTTATTTTTTTTAATAATTTCTCAATCTGGATCATTAATCCTTTTTTTCCGATCTTTAAGCATGATTTAATTAATATAAACTTGCACAATAAAAGTAAAATTTTGGCTTGATTAGGTTTTAATATTGCATTACTATATAACTTTGTTTGTTTCGGTATGCTAAGGTTGAGGGAGTGAAGCACTCAGGACCAACCACAATGGTTCTCTACTTCACTGGGGCTACAAACATTCTTTACACCTTTGGGGGCCATGCTGTGACAGTGTGAGAATTTAATCATTAATTAGTCAAGTTGATTCATATTATATATATATATATATATATATTCTTGCAATCTAGATGCTTTATTGCATGTTTGGATGGAGACATATATCACTGGATGGAAACCCCTTTCTCAGAGATGGGAACATGTTTCCTGGAAAACTGGTGCCCCACTTCTTTTTATAAACTTTGTATAGGTTTAAATATGATAACATTATCTTAACCATCACTAAATATTACTTTATCTCTTTTAATTTCAAAATTGCATGTTTAAAAAATTCTATGTCCATAGAAATTGATTACAGAATTAGTCACAACTCATTTATATGAGGTGAATTTTCCACCTATGTGAGAAAGTTCTGTCTGATTATATAATCAGATTGTGTTGATGCAAAACTCATGATTTGTATATCAAATGAACTCTGTTTGGGGATGGTTTGAATTTTTTAGGGAGATAATGCATGCAATGTGGAAGCCACAGAAGTTCAAGCTAATATACTTGATAGCAACACTCTATGTGCTCACACTAACCCTACCATCAGCAAGTGCTGTTTACTGGGCTTTTGGGGACTTATTGCTTAACCATTCCAATGCTTTGTCTTTGCTCCCAAGGACTGGTTTCAGAGACACTGCTGTCATCCTCATGCTCATTCATCAGGTCAATTTACCTTCCAATTTAGTTATATATATTATTTTCATTAATATAACATTCAATTCATGAGTTTGCTTTAACATTTTTGGTCGAATTAAAATGTTGACTATTACAATCAAAATAGAGGATCAAATTGAAATTTTTTAAGGAAAGAAATTATATACCCTGAAAATAAAGTGTGTGATATAAATTTAAATTTAATGTGATATAAAATAAATTTGGTCTAATCATTTTAATTTTGGAATAAATTTTTTAAATATTTTTTGTGGGCGCGTGATATTATGGGAAAGTTTGCCCACCAATATTAATAACAATAATAAAATAAATAAATAAATGTGTCCAATTCAAATCAATGGTATACATTTAATTTTATTGTTGTGGGACCAAGCACACAATAAATGAATCTTGACCTTTAATTATAAATTTTGAACATTTTTCTCGGTTTTTTTTTTTTGAGTTTGTAGAACTGCTCCGGTATTATTGTGCTGTAAAGTATAAGGGTTCTAACTGTAATTTAATCATTCAAAAATGGGTATTTTGTGCAATTTCAAAATGAACTAATTAAATGAAACATTTTGTATTGGGTTGGTGCAGTTCATAACATTTGGATTTGCATGCACACCGTTGTATTTTGTGTGGGAGAAGTTCATAGGAATGCATGAGTGCAAGAGTATGTGCAAGAGGGCTCTTGCTAGGCTTCCTGTGGTCATCCATATTTGGTTCCTTGCTATCATCTTCCCTTTCTTTGGTCCTATCAACTCCACTGTTGGATCTCTTCTCGTCAGCTTCATTGTCTACATCATCATCATTCCTGCTTTGGCTCACATGATCACCTTTGCTTCTCCTTCTGCTAGAGAGGTACTCAATTTCAGAATCTATCTTATTCTCCCTGTTTCTTTGAATCGTTTTCATAATTTATTTTTAAATTTAGAAACTAGTTTAATGAAAATAAGTACCAAAAATATATTTTTTCAAATTTTAAAAAATTATTTCGCTTCAGAAAAGAGAAATCATATGGAAATTGACTAGTGTTTTTCATTTTTTCACCAAACTAGTTTTCAGTTTTTCTTATTTCTTATTATTTTAAAGCAAACATATTTTGAAAAAAAATAAAGTGCCCACTAAATAATATTTAATTACAAAAATATTACTGTTATATTATTCTGATGACAAATTATGTGTAAAAAGAATAGTATTTTGCCTTCAAAGAATAACCCCATGTAGTTATCCTTGAGACTTATTTGAGTAATTTGAGTTGTTTTTCACACTAGTGAAAAAGTAGCTTATTGAAAAATAATTAACCAATAGTTATATATAAAATGCTACTAACAAACAAATAAATTACAAAATAGAGCACAGACACTCACATGCATATATGTCTCGCACAGTGTAAGACCTAGAGGCACGTGAGTATTTGTATCTCATTTTGTGGTTTCTTTTTGTATTAGTAGCTCTGTTGCATTGCATAATTGTGGATGTGTTTGCTAAAGAACTCCATCAATTATTTACTATTTTGTGCATCGAGCATGATTCAATAATTGTGATAGTTTTGGGACATGGGACAAAAGAATTTGGGAACTGAAAATTCGTAACCCATTATCTATGCCAATCAACTGATCACAAACATAATCTGCAAATTTAGGCCACCCTATCTAGTGAGGTTGAACTTTGACTTAAAACTTATATTTTTATTTTTATGTCACCTCATTAATTAGGTGTGTATGACTATTCCAGACAATTTGATGGAATTTGAAATACTAACACATTAGGTTTATGCAGAGGTCTCCATTTGCACCAACTCTGGCCAAGGCACTTAGGGACAGGGTGTTTGGTGTGGATGATTCTGAGAGACAATTGCATATAATTTACCTTGCCAATGACATTCTATTTGACAGGTACACTTCCAGTGCTATGCCAAATCTTAGTTCAACATAAATTTTGAGTGCTGTTGAAATGAATTTGATTTTGGCTGCTTTTCTGTGTGTGAATACCTATTGCTTTATTTTCTTCTTCTTTATTACATCTATTGCAGGATTCTTATTCATTGATATTTTCTGCCTCTTAAATGCTTCCACTGCTTCATATCTCGTGGTGTCCACTGGCTACTCGAGTACATTATTATGTGTCCTTCCAAATTTGTCATATAAAAAATAATAATAAAATTTGATTTTCCTCCCAGATAGAAATTTCTTTTTAAGTTTGTTCAATTTGATACAATGATATTACACTGGTGTTTTAATGAATATGTGGTATTGATCTATCCTAGTAATTATATTTTGGCAAGATAGCAATGTTCTTCGATTTTGATGATATAGTAAGGGGAATTAAAATCGAGCTATTGTGATGCGAACGCAGGAAATTATTTCTTTCTTGAATGCTTCTTAATTGCTTAATTTTGGCTATCAATGTGTGCATTGATGCTACATATGTTTATCTTTGGGTCATTCTTGAAACATGCAGCTTGTAGCGTAGGATCAACCCTCATGAGCTTGATAACGAGGCACTTGCATTTAAGCCTGTTTTAGGTTCCATGCTTGCCAGGATTTACCACAACCTTCAAAACAAGGAGGAAAATCAATCACGATTGTAGAAAATTTTACAGTTCTGGGCTTCCAAGGAAGTCTATGATCATGTCACTATTCATGCGCTTGAGAATGAGTTGATTGGTGGACCACCAACGAATTTCTTTCCAATATTTGGTGGTTTCTACCATCAGATATTTGTTTCTTCTTTTTTCAAGTTACCATTATAATAAGCTTTCATTCACTGTTTGTTTACTTGTTCAGGAAGCGGAAAAACTTACACTATGAAGCCATTGCCCCTTAAGGCCTCTCGAGATATCTTGAAGCTGATGCACCATACTTACTGGAACCAGGGCTTTCAGTTGTTTTTCAGCTTCTTTGAGATATATATATATGGAGGAAAACTTTTTGATCTCCTCAGCGATAGGAAGTAAGTGCTGTTATCATATCCTGCTTTGGAATTACCATTTGTGGTCTTTTAATTTCTCTCTACTTATGCAGGAAACTTTGCATGAGAGAGGATGGTAAACAGCAAGTTTGTGTTGTTGGTTTGCAACAGTGCAAAGTGTCAGATGTGGAGACAATCCAGGAGCTCATAGAGAAGGAAAATGCTACAAGAAGTGCAGGCACAACCGGTGCAAATGAGGAATCATCATGTTCACATGCCATTCTTCAGCTTGCAATTCAAAGGTCAGCTGATGGCAGTGAATCTAAGCCTTTTGGCAAGCTCTCCTTCATAGAGTCTTGCTGGAAGTGAATAAGGTGCAGATACTACTAAAGGTTCAATCTTTTGACTCTTTTGGCTTATCTTCAGATATTTATTCATCAATGAAGGTTCAATTTGTCGACTCCTATGGCCTACAGATCCATGATTTTGACATACTTCTTTCATATTTGTAGGAGATGAACCTGTAGGTTGAGGCAAATCAACCAGGAAATCAGTTGGATGATTATATATCTAGATTGAATGCAATCTTGTCCTAGAAGGCTGCTGGCATTCTATAACTACAAAACCGTCTGACGTCTAAAGGAGCATAATGTTCTAGTGTCTTCTTCTGATTGCTAGACCAGTATATGTAATCGTTTTCTATGTTGTAGATTCCATTCTTTTTTGAGTGCTCCAAATACTGTGACTAATATAATTAAAATAATATTAAGATTTTTTTTTTTTGCACAATGATTGTGGACTATCATTTGATATGATTTTATTATTTGAGTGGGAGTTATTATTTTATTTTAGTGTTATTCAGTTTTATTAGAGGTATTTTTTTTAGTTCATTCGCATAAAATTAGCACAATTTCAAAAAAAAAAAAAAGGATACCACGGCGTTTTAAGAAACGCCACCTAAACCTATAAATTTAACGGTCAGATTTTTCAAAAAATATAACGGCGTTTCAAAAATGTCGCTAAATATCATAGTGACGTCATAGTATGTTAGATAAGACATTTGGCGGTGTTTTTAAAAACGCCGCCTATACAAATATAACGACATTTTTCAAACGTCGTAAAGTTATAGCGACGGCCGCGTCATCGGCGTTTGGTACTAAACGTCACAAAAAGAATTAGCGACGTTTTTAATACTTATAGCGGCGTTTTTTAAACGCCGCTAAAAGTGAATTTTCCTGCAGTGAAGTAGGCTAAGACGCGGATTTGCCACTCAAGTGGGCTTAGAAAACATGATGATTTTCCACGAACAAGTGGGCTTAAAACTCACATTTCGATGAATGGTTCAAATTCAAGCAATGAAGCCTTCATCCACAGGCATTCATGCAGTTAAGCATATAAACAAATAGCCTCATGGCAAGCATACTATCATTGCAACGTACACACTTATGCAAGATGCTAAAGCGTAAAAGCTTACCTAGTACTCCAAGCCAAAACAGAAGCTAGTTAGTAATCAATGCATGATCCTAGCTATGTCAAGATGCCTAATGCAACACATGCACAAATGCAACTAAAATAGGCTCGACTATCTAAAATGGCATATGAATGCAGCACTTGATAACATGCTGTTAAACATGTATTCAAGAAAGTGTATTGAAGTACAATGCAATTTGAATGATGCGCTGAGCCTGGTGCATGCAAGACGAATGAATGATGCACGCATGCGAAGCATAAGGATGCTAATTGAAACATGCCCTAAAACTAACCATCAAAAGCTGGTAAATAAAAGGAAGAAAGACGTGGGGTTGGAAGACATTCAGACACTCACGCACACTTATTACAACATTGTGCTCTCTCGACGGAGGGTCCGAAAGAATAAGCTAAGCTAGCTACACTAAGCTAAGCTACTTAACTAATCTGATAATCTAATTAGACAAATTATTACACAACACAAATTGAATAACTAGCCACAACTAATTATTACGTCACTTTAACTAATTAATCAAATTAATTAAGTTACAAAACTAACTAAGTAAGAAAAAGAAGCGAAATTAGGCTGCCACAGCTCTGCCTCAGAATAATGAATGATGCATGCTCAGTCGGCTTCGCTCGGAAATCCATTACCATGCCTCAAGATGCCTCTGTTTGCACAGTTTTGTACTTCTGAACATTATGCCAACTTCCAGAATGCTTTTGATCTACCTTAAGAACATGCTGAGGGATGATCGGCCAAGCGGAATGGTCATCGGCCAGAGTTTATGGCTATCGGCCAATTTTGATAGCCGATCGGCAGACTTGGTGGCCGGTCGGCAGCTTTGATGGCCGGTCGGCCACTACTTCCTGTATTTTCTCCTTTTGCTACAATAGAGCACAAATAGAGGCATGGCAGTGTATTTGCAAGAGAATGTGTGTGGAACTACACTCATTATCATGTCTCAAGCTCAAAGGAGTGTAGTGCTCAGCTCTCGAGCCATCAATCACGCATCTCGATGCATGATGGCCAAAGAGGCAAGCTTGCACAATATTGATGTATGCACAAATAACACATAGGACTCGAGAGGCCTCCACCCTATCATGTACGATCAGGGGTGTCGGTGAGTAAGAAATGAGGCACGTTTCATCAATTCAAGAATGAAACATCCCTCATTTCTCGTGTTTGGATTAGCGTCTGATCCAAACAGATGCAATGCAACACAAACATGTTATCTTGGCATGTTTTACTTTCATTCATTTTGTTTACTCATTTTAGATTACCGATAAGTCCTTTAACCAGTTAAGTCCAAAAGTGAGAGTCCTCTAATGAGAGGAAGGCCAATCAAAAGAATGGTTTAAGGCATAGGAGAAACCATGCCTTTGACTAGGAGGAACTCTCAAAACAGAGAGTTAAAGCCATTTAAGTACAAGTCTCAATCCCTTGCATTAAACTCGAACTCAGGACTAACCAATCCTCAAAACAAATCAAAAGCGAAGAAATGAGGAGGATGACAGATTTCAGTGCTAAAGTGGCATGAAATGCAAGACTCTACTATGCAAACATCGCATGCACAACATGCTAGAACACTTAAGCATTGAAACTAGTGAAGAGCCTTACACTAGGACCACGCAATACAATGCTCAATTGACTAAACCAATCCCAAACAGACCTCATGCATGCTAAAACAGTGGCTAAAATGGACTGAAATCATCGCATGATAAGCAAGAAAAAGCATGCTCAAATGATGGCTTGCAAGCAAGGCACAAAGCTCAACTCTCAAACACAATTAAAGAGTGATAAACATGAGAGTATGGAAAAGATATGAACTCTGAAATTACATGCTAAATGATGCCAAAACATGCAATCATCACAAACATGGCATGCTATGGGGCTCAAAACACAAGACTAGTTAAGTCACTTGCACTATAGCTGTGCAAAACAAACCCCAAAAGGCCAAGAACACCCAAAATAGTCCCCAAGCATGTCAAAATAATGCTAAAACATGTATGGAGTATAGCCAAGATAAGCTAGAATAATAGGCTAAAGAGACAAGCATGCAAGGCTAGCTAGCAAGGATTACACTACAAGTGTATAAAGCATGCAAGGGGTGAGTCCAACAATCAAAATTAGAGTTATAACATGCCAAAATAATACCAAAAACATGCTTGAACTAAGCTAATTCAAACTACAAGAGCATGCTACTTTGTAAGACTAACAAGGCTAGTGAGCAAAATTGCACTACAAGTGCAAGAAGCATGCAAGAGGTGACCAAGATGACCAACAACAGAGTCATGGTAGGTCCCAAAAGTCACAAAAAAGAGCCTAAACAAAGCCACAAAGAAGTAAAAACACATGCTCATTTGGTTGGCCATCAGCACATGCAAACAAGAGAAGAGGAGGGGGGATAACCCCCGCCTATTTGGGACCTCAAAACAAGATTTTTACCACTGAAGATTCTCTAGATTTCATTGGTTAAAAGGCCACAAATTTTTTTTTTGAAAGGCCTTGAAAGATAGCTCAAAAGGCTTTACAAGCCAAGGAGCAAAAGGGAGAGACAACTCCCAAACACAAAATAGGTCTAAACCAACATTTTTAGGATTGAAAAACAGAGATTTTCTCAGTTCAAAACCACCCCAAAAATAGTGTAGAAATATGGCAAAACAATAGTGCAAGACAAGCTTAAATGGGGTAAGTTGTATACCTTTGAAGCAAAGCACACACTAGGCACACGAGAGGCACCAAACCAAGCTTAATCCTCCTTTTAGAGCTCAAACAAGGCTCCAAGTAAGCTTCAAGCAACCTTAACCCATAGATGGACCACTTTCATCAAGGATGTCTAGGCAAAAGAGAGGTATTTCTCTACTTGCATGCACAAAAGGCAAGAGAGAGAGAGAGAACTTTAGAGAGAGAGGCAGAGATCTTTTATCCAAAATTGTAGAGAGAGAGAGAGAGAGATTTTAGAGAGAGAGACTCTCCAAATGTTATAACCCCTTGAATATGAGATATAAGGCTCTCATATATAGCAAAATATCAAGTTTGGTCGAAATATCTAATTTGGGACAGGTGGCATAAGCTGGAAACAACTGGAGGAGAAATATCTGCCAATTCTGGGCTTTCTGGAAATTTATGGCCGACTGGCCAAAATTTGTGGCCGATAAGGTTTACTTGTGGTCAACCTATGGCCGATGAGCTCCAATTGTGGCCGATGCACTCCCATAGAGTCCGATGGCAAAAATCAGTCCTGGTCCTTGACTTGAAGCAAGCCTAACTCCTTCATTTGGACTCATTTTCAGGTCATTCTTGAGCCTAAACTATAGCCCCAGAAGTCTTCTTTCCAATTATGGAAGCTTGACATCAAAATTCCATGTGTGATAAGAGATATCCTTCTTTTTGTGAAGGCTACTCAGTTTCGGTCCAACCGGAATGATTCCCAACTTCAACCAATCATATCTCCCCCATCCGGACTCGGCTTTAGGAGATTATTAAGTGAAAAGTGAAGCCCCGGAAGTAAGATTTCCAACAGTGGTGGCCTCATAGCTGAAATCCAAGTATTCAAAAGGATAAGCCTGATTTACCGAGGGCTGCTCGACTCTCTCTTAGCGATTCATGCCCATCTTCTTCTCTAACTTGGTTTCTTCCCTCTACTCCTCTTTTCTTCAACTCCAAACCCCTAAACAAGGTGTTTTGAAAGATTTTTCAAATATTTCATCTCTCTTTCATTCATTTCCACTTTGTCCTTGCTCGGTTTACCGAAAAGCACGACGTTTAACAAAATGCAAGCGTCGGAACATCGCAGAAACTTTGTTTCAAAAATGTTTTGAAAGAGAGGGTTTTAAGGTATAAAATCTTTGGTCAAAATAGTTTTTTAGTTCAAAAATGGGGTGTAAGGTTGGGATTTGACTCTCTCCTTGCCG